GTGTAGTTGGTCAGAACTTGTCACATGTTTTCGAAGCACAGTTGTTTACAACATGAAGCGAACTGTTGTATGTTATAGGATCATTGACTAGGTTTTCAATTTTACTACTAGATAATGTTTCAGTCAGTCATGGAAAATCACATACCATCAGTCTGCAGTAGGACTGAATTGGTATCTTGTTTTTCGAGCCGTTTTCAAATTCAAACGCACTGAAGTCCCTGCGAGATACTCAGGCCCTGTATTTTTCTATGAGTGTTTTGGAAAGGATTAGACCTTGTTTTTCTATAATAGGTTTATCAGGTATCCTATCTGCCACTCAGGAGGTGGCCTCCTTTATTTCAAGGCCTTCTGTATTATTGGCGTACGAAAACCCACTGGGGTGTCTGCATCATTTATCAGTGCCTTCGAAGCTGTATGTCCGTTCAGGCCACATTCGTCCACGCTTCGCTCAGTCTATATCGTATTGAATGTTGTTGCTTTCTTTGAAGTGTTAAAGTTCACCGGTTTTCCATTTCTTTCAGTGGTAATTCTGTATGACTTGCAGGTGTTTACCTAAGACTCAAGTAATTCAAAGCCACAAAAGCAACCACTGTCAAATTGAAATTGGATCAATTCTGAGTAACCAACTTAAAATATGTGTGAAGCTGTAAAATTACACATTGACCCTTGATCATACTGTAGCTATGTGAGATAGTGAACCTTGGTATTCGATGATAAAAACGCAAAACGGGTGCTCTACATGAACAAGTGAATCAGTGGACGCGCATAGAAGTGATCAAAAAGAAAAAATTGCATATTCAGAATTAGTGGAGAATATTGGGTAGCAGGAGAATTTCAGTTTTGATTTCAATGTGAAATCTATTGTTTACTGCAGGTCGCATCTTTTTTTAAAGTATCATCCAGTAGTTCTTCTTTATAGGTGTCTACCATGTGTAACCGTTGGCTCTGCAGAGTTATGTCATTGTTTGGGTTTGTTTCCTTTGTGCATAGCTATGGAACATGGAAGATAAGTATTCTGAATTAGGATCTTCCTCACAAATGGGATTTCTTCATCTTTCCACTTCAGGTTGTAGGTTCTGTGGGTAATAGTCGAAGGGCTATCAGCAGGTTTTGGAGTATGGTTTGTCACCACTCAAATTTAAACGTTTGTCAGCTCACCGTTTCACGAAGTCCCTTTCCATACTATTCCATTCAATTTCCTATTATAAATGTATTTATTAGTCTGAACTTCAAAAGCGGAATTGTTTTTCAAGTTTCTGTTTTAACAGTGATTTTGATAGTTGAGTGAAGACTATTGAAATCTTGTCGTTTATTTTCATTATTACACATTTATTATCCCTAGTGATGAAAGTATAGTCAACATACATTGTGTATGGAGAGTGACAATCGATAATCATTTTCAACAGGGCATAAATAATGGACGAAGTTTCACATTGAAAAAATACTGAGAATGCGAATTATTCAAAACCTGTTATTATTATTATTGCTCCCTTGGGTTCCTAGTGGAACATAGGGCTTCAACTGCACGTCTCCATTTGCTTCTGTCTTCTGCTGTACTTTTCGCCTGCATCCATGTTAGTCCATATTCTTTCAACTCCTCTTCACACGATCTCCTCCATGTCACCCTTGCACCGACGTTCCACACGCCGACGTCCCTTTCGGGTTCCACTCGAGGGCTTGACGCGCGATGTCACCCAGCAGTCTCCTCAGCGAGTGTCCGATCCATCTCCACTTTCTCCTGCATATTTGTCGGGCGATTGGTTCTTGCTTTGTTTGTTCCCATAATTCCTTGTTGGTGATTCTTTCCGGCCATCTGATCTTCAGTATTGAGCGAAGACAGTTGTTAATAAAGGTCTGCAGCCTTTTGGAAATATTCTTTGTGACCCGCCAAGTTTCTGATCCGTATAGAAGAACTGACTTTACGTTTGTGTTGAAAATCCGAATTTTGTTGGTGATGCTGAGTGACGAAGATTTCCAGATTGATTTCAGGTTGATGAATGTGTTTCTCGCCTTCCCGATTCTCGCTCGATTTGACATCCTCGTCCGCTCCTCCTGTAGTTGAGACAATGCTCCCTAGATAAGTGAAGTAACCTCTTTCAAATCCCTCCCGTTGATGGTGATTGGCGCTGGATGTTGTTGCTGTTGTTGTTGTTGTTGGTTGGTTGGTTATTTTCATAACCTCCGTCTTGTCTATGTTTACCTGGAGTCCTGTCTTCGCCGGCTGCTTCTTCGACCAGTTTGTCGGTTTTCGCTTGTAAGTCTTCGATTGTGTGTGACATCAAACATAAATCATCCACACGCGAAATCCAGGTCTTCTAGGTTCTTCGCGTCGGTCCAGGATATCCTTGTATTCTCGTTTCCCACTGTCTGACGCATAATCCAGTCCACCACAATTAGGAATATCATTGGTGATAGTAAGCTCCCTTGTCTGACTGCTGTGTTTACTCCAAACGCCTCGCTGAGTCTTCCGTTGTGGATCACTTGACATGTGCCGTTGTCGTACATCTGTTGAATAAGGTTGATGAATATTTGGGGTACGCCATAGTACTCGAGTAATTTCCAAATTACTTCACGATCAACGCTGTCGAAGGCCTTCTCGAAGTCTATAAAGTTGAGGTAGAGGTTTGATCGCCATTCCATGCTTTGTTCGATGATGATGCGTAGAGTTGCAATTTGGTCAGTACATGATTTGCCTTTCCTGAATCCAGCTTGTTCTGGTCGGAGTTCTGTCTCCAGTGCGTCCTTTAATCTCTCCAGGATGATGCGACTCAGGATTTTACTTGGCGTCGATAGGAGCATGATTCCTCGCCAGTTCTTGCAGAGTGAAGCGTAAGTCGCCCTTCTTTGGTAGTTTCACGAGGTAACCTTTCCTCCAGTCAGTAGGCACCTTTCCCTCCTTCCAGACCTTTTGCAATAATGGAGTCAGCATGTCTGCTGTAGTCTCTGGGTCTGCTTTCAGTGCTTCAGGGGGTATTCCATCTGGTCCGGCTGTTTTCCCAGCTTTCAGAAGCTTGATTGCGTTCAAGACTTCAGCTCTCATTGGGGGATTGGTGTCAACTTGCAGTTGTGTGTGTACGTGCTGTTGTTGGTATTTCTGGACTGGTTGCAGGTGATGGTCGGTTCAAGAGTCCTTTGAAGTGATCCGCCCATTGTTTAATCTGTTTTCTTCCTTGGTAATTGGGTTCCCTTGGCTGTCTTTTATAGGTTTCGCTTGTGTTGATCTCTTCCCGGATAGAGATTTGGTTATCTGATATAGTGTCCTCAGGTCCCTTTTGCCTGCTGCCTTCTCAGCTTCAGTGGCCAGGTTGTCGTAGAATCGTCTTTTGTCCTTCCTAGCACTCTTCTTCACTTCTTTGTCCAGTGCTTTGTAAGTTGAGCTCAGCGTCTCCTTCTCCTGTCCGTCCTTGCATTGAATCATTTTCTCTTTCACCATTCTCCTCTCTTCTATTAATTTCCAAGTGTCCGTTGAGAGCCATTCCTTGTCTTGTCTCTTCTTTCTTCCTAGAACCGTTGAACACGTTTCGTTGAGAATCGCCTTCAGAGACTTCCAATGTTCTTCCACGCATGATTCTTCAGTGATGTCGCGTAGTGTTTTCTGCTTTGCTCTGACAGTTGCAGTGAAAGTGTCTTTTGTGGTTGTGTCCTTCAGTAATTGAGTGTTGAACTTGCATTGTGGCCTATTCCCAGCTATCCTCGAGGCTTTTAGTTTCACCTTGAAAGTCCCTTCTACTAGATAGTGGTCTGAACCCACATCTGCTCCTCTCCTTGACCTTGTGTCCAGTAGGCTCCGTCTCCACTTTCTTGAAATTGAGATGAAGTCTATTTGATTCTTGGTGTTTCCATCTGGTGAAATCCATGTCGTCTTGTGTATATCCTTGTGTTTGAACACACTACCGCCAATCACCAAATCATTGAAGGCGCAGAAGTCTGAGAAGAGTTCACCATTGTCGTTCATTTCAGCGAGAGCCTCACGACCCATGGTGAGTTCTCTTCCTGTGTTGTCTCCTCCCAGCTTCGCATTCATGTCGCCCATCAGGATTTTGATATCGCCATTTGGGACGTTGTCCATTATTGCTTGTAGTTGTCTGTAGAAATCCTCCTTCTTCTCTTGTTCTGAGACGTTTGTGGGTGCATAGCACTAAATGATTGTAAGCTTCCTTCCTTTGGAGTTGAACCTGGTTCTCATTATCCTGGAGGAGATTGGTTCCCACTGCATGAGAGCTTTGGCTGCTGTTGGTGACATCATGATGGCCACTCCCTCGGTGTGCTCATGGTTGTCCTCTAGGTGGCCGGAATAGATTACTGTCTCTCCAGTAGGTAGTTGGCACCTTCCAGTTCCGTTCCATCTGCTCTCGCAGATTCCCAACACTTCTCTTCCATATCTTCTCATTTCAGCGGCTATCTAGGCAGCCTTTCCAGTTTCGTACATTGTGCGAACATTCCAGGTACCCATCCTTATTTTTGCTTTCATCGAAAGAAGACACATCGGCTGACTGACTTCCCGAAGGCTTTCACCAGCCTGCGTCATTTCACTTCCCCGATTCCAGCGAAAAGTAAGGCTATTGCTTATGTTTTTAGAATTTTTATTATATTTATTCGTTGAAGTTTCTGTAGCGATTTGGTTGTTTTACAGGTGTGGAGTTGCTAGCACCACGCCCCAACCCTCCCTCTTTAACCGGGCTTGGGACCGGCGAGAAAACTAGTAAGCTAGTAGCCTAGCAAGCTAGTATCTGGCGAGGTTATTCAAAAGCTAACTGCACTATTTCCAATTCATGACGGCATTTTACCACCAATGAGACACATTGTTGAAAGTTAATTTAATAAACGCATGGTAGATGCTTATACATTCATTTGCATATAAGTACACGTGACAGTATTGTCTGAAATCTATCGTGAATTAAAGCACTCCTTCATCATTCTACTAAATTACAACAAGTATACTTAATGCTGTCTGTTTTCACATGAGTAATATATATATATATATATGTATAAGGAAGAAATAACTGACAACTTTGGAAATACAATATGTTCAGAATAATTTTGCTCATACTGATTTTTCAGAAGTGTTTATTATCAACTGATTGTATGTCTCACTTCAGTGTAATACTAACTAACATATCAAATTTCAGTTGTAAGAAGACAACATGTGTACCAAGGTAGAGTAGAATTCAATTGTGGTAAAAATTATCTGATAAATTAAAGTTAATTTATACTTAGGAAGCCCAACGTTTCAAATTGATTGCGGTTAATTTTATTCTGGTTTATTTCATTTCAGCAATCTGTTTTTATCCTAAAGATGAAGGTTATGGTAATGACACAATGGAAAAATTTTACTATCATGCAGTTTACGGACGATGTATGAGGTTCACCTACCGTGGAGCTGGAGGAAACGATAACAATTTTGATGCAGAAGACGTTTGTGAAAAAATGTGTAAATCAAGGTAATTGCATATTGCATAAATCCATCATTTTAAAATATCACAAGTTATTTTTTATTAGATTTGACTGAGACTACGTAGTTTTCAGGTAGTTTGTAGAAATATGTCCCTAAAAGAGATAGTCTACCGAGGTTTCACCGTGATATCACTCAGAAGGTGTCACAACAAACTCAAGTTGTATTGCTTAGAAGCAAATAAATGTGTAATGACTTAGCAAGCCTGATACACTTCAACAAATACGTGACTATTGCAAGCAAGAGTAACTTATACATTTAACTAGTAATGCCAAGTGAAATCTGGGATCATTGATTAGGGCTAGTGAGAACAGATATTTCAATATATTCAAACGATGCACTGAGAATTCGTTAGTTGATACTTCTGAAACTAAGATTTTCATTATTCATGTAAACTGAATGTGGTAGATATTGTGAACTGTAAAACTGGTTCTTTACTACCTCGAAATTATATATTCTACATTTACTGATAATTTGTTGTAGTTTATAATGAATGGGCAGCACCTGGTACCGTTTCATAATTGATTTATTTTCTTTTCTCAAGTGGCACATTCGATAGAAGTGAGTTGTTGTTGGTAGAAATCTTATGATGATTTACCATCGGAGATTTCACTCTCCTCACCGTTAGTGGTTACATTCATCAATTCAAGCTTTGGAATTTCAGAGTATAAATACTCTATAGATCGTCAGGCTTTAGTGATGAATGACGTCTTTTCTCTCGTTTTTGAACATAATATCGGTTGATTGGCTTCCACTTTCTGTAGCATCCGCTGATTATTGTCTTCTGCAAATCTGTAGAGCGAAGGGATGTGTAACCTAATCGAATTAAAAGTTGAGTTTATAGGCAAGTAATAGCTGAATAAATTATGCACTTGATATTCTAGATAAAGTGACACTGGTAATCGCCTAATAAATAATAATAATTGTAATAAAAATACAACTAATGAAGATTGACGATTCTGTCAAGACCTTTGTTTCGACAAATAATAAGTGTACCATGGACAAACTGTACTGACATAAAGAGCGGCTTATTAGTTGTAGATGCGACATAAGTGCCGTCGGGTATAATTACTTTCGTTGCTTTAATTTGACAATGTTACTCCAACCATTTGTTATTCACCAGGTTATTTAATACCATCCTGCTTCGCTTTGTGAGGATATAGTCATAAATGTGATGGCTCGCACTACATTTCAATAACTACAAATAAACAGACTGGGGTCAAAGTGTTTTTTTTTGACTGAAGTGAGATTTGAAATAAGTATCTCGTATGAATATAAAGATGTTTCGGTTGAATGTCAGTGTCTATTAGACGCGTTTCTCGCACACCACAGCCTCCCCAAGGTGAAGTTACACTTAGTTTCAACAAATACTGTAAAATATTCTAATATACCAGAAGAGACCATTTTGGACTACCGACTAAATTTCAACTTTGTATTCCATTTTCAATCATTGATGTATATTCTGATGTCTTTATTCAAACATTGCATGTATGTTTGAAGCAATGCATTTAGATCAGCTATTAATTCGTTACGTTAGAGAAATGGAGCTCACCACTGCATATTCATCCACATCCAGTTGATTAATCAGGTAATTTGCATAAACAGAATGGTTGTGGTGAATGTGTTTAGCAAGGTCACTTATTCCGCTGATCGACTGGTTGTGGTTTTGTACTCGTTATATGAAACGAAAACTGTCCCACTTAGATTCGCCTTCTTATGTGGGAAATTTCTAGTCGTTCATTGTCTAATTTACTTAAGAAAGAATTCGTCATATTATGAAAGGCATCGAAAGCCATCAGGAGGGAATGTGGGGTGTTGCTTAACCCACTAATTGATACTGTTGTCGATAGACGCATGGGCTTCTGGAAGAAACTATCGAATATTATCCTATCAGACTCTGAACATCCTCTCTATACACAACTCTCCCTTTCATCTCGTCGAGTAAAAGTAGAAGATACAATGGAGGACTGTGTTCTCGGACAACTAAGTACCGGAATTCCACAATGACTTATTTAGGACACATTTACTCAGGAAAAACGTGTGTGACAGTAAATTAGCAACTCGCTGAAGAACTCTCAGTAAGTGGCATTTTGTTTTGTTCTCATTGTTTCAATGGCGTGAGTATTTCCACTTGATATAATTTTATATGTTCATTTCTTATAGAATAATAATAATGCAAATACTGTTTGTAATAAATCTATTATTAATAATATATCACAGCTACACGACTATCAATGTTTGAATAATTTTAGGCGACTGCCAACAACCTCACCACCAAAAATCTTGCTTTGATTATTTTCAACACCACTACTTTGATTCAAATTCGGAACATGTAAACCCTATGGATTGAACGCATGTGGCAAAACTAAAAATGACTTCAAGAGTTTCAACGAATGCGCAGCAAAATGCGGGTCAGTTTATTTTTCTTGTTATATATTTTAATAATTGAAACATTTATATCAAAAGAAAATAATACGGTTTTATTCATCACCGGGTTACGCGTTCACTTTGAAGTCTAAGTCATATACAATCTTCTTTTCTTTCCAACGTATGTACATCTTATGCAATGACTAAACTTATTTCACGTCTGTATAATCATAACTAATCTCACAGTCCACTTTCTTTTAGTACGATGTGCATTTTGTAGTAACATGGGCGTCGCTGGTCAAGTATAGGTTATATGATAATGTGTCACATCCGAATCATCAGGTGCTGAACAAAAACTGGAAAACAACACCATTAAATACCAAAATTGATTGTCTTAATCAAAGTGTTTTATTTCTGAGAACATTATTACACGAATCCATAGTACCACTAGAAACATGATGCTGAGTGCACTTTAGGGATTTAGCGATAAAACCAAGACATTGAAGATGTTTTTCCCTACATAGTCAGTTTGGAATCCGATTCATTTAGCATAAGGATCTAAAAATATGGGGCAAAACAAATCAACTACTAGTTTCATCATTCCTTAATTTATCCTCAAATAGTTATAGAAGTGACAAAATACTACCAAAATATGACATAGCCTAAAAGGATTTAGCTGCAGTTTTGCCAGATCCAGTGATTTATTTATCTCAGTCAAACTGTCCATAGAAGGCTTATTACGGATGTCTTGGTTTCCTAGTTGGAAGGACCAAGCTTCTTGGCTTATCCACACAAACAAACAAACATGGAGAATGGTACGCTTCATACTTCAATGGGTTTTCTTGAAAATCCCTGTCGCGTGATTAAAGGCAATGAGAAAGGAAGTCAAATACCGTAGGTTTACTAGTTTAGACTGAAACACTAGACAAGTACGAACATTCATATGAGGTAATAATAAAGCGGATGAAAGGAGGACCAATCTTTTCAAATATCACCAAATAATACGTCATATTTTCACTTGAATCAAACTTCAAATTTCTCGTTACCATCCGTTTAACTAATTTTTGACTGTCGTCAAACATGCATTCAAGAAAAACTGATTAGTCTGTTCGATTAGTTGATGAAATGGTAATGTCAACTATAAAATGCCGTTGATTTTAATAATTCGCCATTGTCATTTTTATGGTAGGTAACCAAGTTATATGAAAAAACAATGCTAACTATTGTTCCGTTTTATTAATTGATTTGAACTGAATTAATTGAATTAATAATGTTTTTGCCAAAGATTTTATGAAACAAAGATATTTGACGTTTTATTTGTTAGGGAACCTCGATTATCTGTCAAAAAATGTAAGTTCCTTCAAGACGAAATTTACTCTGATATAGAACTGTAGAAATAATAATTTATTGTTGATATTAACCTCAGTAGAATCACTAAAGCGTGTTAACCGATGTATTTGCTTCACAAATGGAGATTCATTTATTTATTTCGATTGATAAATAATTCTGATATCGCATTTCATAAATGTTCATAACCTGAAGGATAAACATTTTATGAGAACAATTTGGAATATATATACACATATCTTCGGTCAGAGAAGATAACCGAATTGATATTGTCGGTTCTGATAACATCTGAAGAAGGAGGTGAAACACTCAGATAGACCAAATTTAATACACTTGGTCAGATATCAAATGTCGACAGTAACCGCACAAACCAAATGCGTTATCTTGGATGAGCAAATAAGAAATTATAAAAATCAATTCATTTCAGAAGAAAATGGCAGTGAAATAGTGTACAATTCTCGTAAGCTAATAGCAGTAAGCCATACAAGTGTAATTTCTATTCACAAAATCAAGTGGGTTGTTGTCATAAAAAGAGAGTAAATATGTTCAGGTGCATTCAACAATCATCATCAATTCCTTTAGTATGTAATGTATTGTTAATCGAAATTCTTTCTCATCAACTTCAAATGTTCAGACTAAGGAGCGTATGATTTTCGTAAATTCAAATATACTAAAACAAATGAGAATAAACTTACCTTGTTTACAGCAGAAAACTAAATAAACCGAAGCAGTAATTATTTCGCCATTTTTATGTAACTACTCATTCCATATTATGACCAATTATATACATCTAATCACTTACATACTCATCGGGAATCATCAATTTGCATGAAATATAAACTAGAATCGTACCAAGATTACATGTGAACCGCAGAAATAATCCTCCTCTAAAAGTAGAATGCTAACAGGAAACGGATTTAAACAAATCTGCAACAATATTGCACAAATATGTGTAAATATTTCGGCTCGTTTATATATCACAATCAAAAAACAGGTATTAATTGAAATTTAGCCGTTATTACACGTGTGCTCTCCAAATCTTATTGTCTGTTTGAACGGTAACCAAAAATGTATTACATGTGAGCCAAAATTACGCTGACACTCTACCTAATGCATTTTGTGGTGATGAAATGTATTGCGAAGTTGAAATACCAAATTATCATTAACTGCAGGAGAATGCACGACAGATTTCTGCATAAAATTTTCAAGCCATACATGGATTTACGAATGTAAATAGCTGAGATACATTTACAGAAACACTACATTCAGCGTCTCCAAAAATATTATAAAAACTATCAAAGAAACTGTCAGCAGTTTAGAAGAGAGATAAACGATAAGGGAGACGGAAGTAAACGACATGGAACGCACAGATTTAGGTGAAACTCCAAAAGAAATAAGGATAATTTGCAGCAAGTCACTGTATGAGGATGTGGAAAATATAGAACGTACTATGTTAAGCGTCAATAAGATTTATAATTCCTGAAGAACTAAAATGTGCAGGATATATCCAATACATTATCAGTCAGGCCTCCTAAACTGCATCTGATTTAGGTGTGTTACTAGTTCTCAAACAGCCTATTGTTTGCTTGGTGTTAGGTCATGAAGTAAAAGTGTCTAAAGTATCGATATCAGGTGCGTTTCTCACTACTGCTCACTTAGAGGGTGAATCTGTCTGCCAACAGATTATCTTATCTTCCCATTTTCACGCATCTCTGGTGAACATCTAATTTTGGAATATACTGTGACTAGCGACTGGTGCGGTTTCAAACAATGAGCTCCGCTATACCCCACCAATCTGTCCTACCTCACACAAACTCCTACACCATAATGACAATGGGAGCCTAAAACAATTATCATATGCTGACAACAGTCTGTGAATTCGTGACAGTTACAAGGAAACTAGTGACACAATACTATTATAAAAAGAATACAAACTCGTGGAAAATAGACAAACAAACACCAGTTTTGAGCTGACATAAGTTAAAGAACCACCGAAAAGGTATTTTGTTTGAGTTTGATACTCTCACCGGTATGCACCCTCCGCGTTTTGAACACAGGACCTTCTGATTACAACACCAACGAGCTCGTAGACCATTGAGCCAATGGGACTCGCTTCAATGGCCCTTGAGTTGTAATTTCTGCTAGTCCCTGACATAGCGCGACCATTTCAAAATATCCCTTTCGATGAGTTACTACCTCACCTTCCATTTGCTGTACTCTACTGATCACGGCTCCTTACTAGAACCTCAGGTCACTACCTCAATAAAGCCAGTCGCTAGTGATCATCAGATTAATTTTCAAGTATTGGTACAGTGTGCAGCTAAAGAGTCTCAAGCTGGGACAAAACATCTGTCCAGTATTCCGAGGTCTTCCAGTGACTCTCTAATCCATGTCAACTCATGATGCGATTCTCCATCCAACAAAATAAAATCATTATACGAACCAATACTTGAAGAAACCAAATACCTGTGAAAAGAAAGAAACCAACATTATTTTAAAAAATCCACAATCACTTATATTATGCAAGTAAACAGCCTCTGTAAAAATTTGTTAGCTACCACAACATGTAAGTTCACGTTCTCCTTGTGTTTAATTGCAATTGTTACGACTCTATTTGTGCATGCACTGACCTGCCAAATATTCATCGAAACATTCTATCACCGACTTCAAACATTCAAAGTAATACATTACTATTGATCTTGTGTCCCGTTTCTGTCAGCAGACGTGCATTCACTAAGTTGTTCTATAGCATATTCTATTCTGTCATGTTTGTATGTGGCATCCAGTTTCTCATAAATATTTCCTTTGTAATTTTGTTAATATAAAGTCGCTTCGTCGTTTGCTTTTCCATATTCGCCTCTGAGTCAGGGAAAACAAAATATCCGTATATAGAAATCAGATACCGAAGCTGATCACACAAAACAAGGAACAAATCTGAGGACGGAATTACAGTATATGCATCCACAGGTATGTTACACAATCTGGGAATGTCGGGAGTTATTTTACTAAAAGTTAAAACAGTCCTTAGCCCAAGAATATAATTTTCATGAATTCTTTGCTGCTCTGCCTTCTCAGTCTGTGCTCACGGTGACGCCGTGCACTCTCCTGTCAAGTTCGGTGGTATTTTTGCATCTGAATCGCGCCTATCGAACAATGCATACATGAGACGACACTATGTGGTGAGGAGCTGTTTAAAAGATACGTTGGAAGAATTCACCTTAACCAATTACATCGGTCTCCGATTCTCTTGTCAATGTTTACTTTACACTTCACAAATTGGACGAGCTTGTAGCAAGACGCATAATGTGCATTCCAACTCTTCACAACAACAGACCTAACTTACTGAGCAGGGATATTTTCACTGACGACTACTACACAGCACGGGTGGCTAACATTATGTCGATGGAGGAGGAAATCTTACTTATCTCAGAGTCGATGAAAACCAAAAAACGTTTCTCCACGCTCAAAACCATTCACTTCTGATTTAGGAATATTACAAATTACTCTCACGTCATTTCATATTGCATAACTGTCATCTACACCCCATAAACGTAACACTTATCTACAAGTATATTCAGCTAGCGTAAGTGGTAGTTCATCACACTTTACTACATAATGAGTAAGATATGTGATACTTCCGATATCAGCAGTTTTTGGTTCCATCAAGGATGAATGTTTTGCATCAGTAATAGATGCAAACGTTTGCACCTGCATTCATGTTTTTCCCTCTTGACCGATCTCTGCTCTATCGGGAATGGTCGATCTCATCCTTCCACACTGACCTACTACACTGACCTGATGAGGACTGATATCTCTGTGTGTACTGCAATTCCAACCAGTTTGTTTGATAGTGCTTATAAGAAATCAAGTGACTTTCGCATACACAAGGTCGAGGATCCGAACGGCTTCAATGGTGCATGAAGTTGTATCGGTCACTGATAGCCATTCAATTGCAGCTATTACAGATGCTTCGCTTCCTTCGAAAATGTAGTCAAAATGAGATGATTGGAAGTGGTCACTTTAGGCAAACATCCGGATTATTATGGGCAACCAGGATATATGCAGCACATCCAATGAAATCGAACAACAAGCAGTCAACAAATCTAAACGCATGTAGCATCGCAACATTATTGAAAATTAAGGTGAAATATCTAATATTCAATCTTATATCGTGAAAAGAAAATTCAGTGTTTCTGTTATCAACCGCACTAAAGTTAATGCGGTCGATAATATTCAATGTAAAAGATCAATCTCTTATGCATATTTACACTTATATGTTTCACATTGTGCAGCAACTACGACGAGTAAGTTCATTTTCTCTTTGTGTTTAATTGCTTTTAACTGTTTAATTGATTCGACTCTTTTTGTGCATGCATTGATCTGCCCAATATTCACCGAAACATCTTGTCAGCGACTTAAAGCATTCAAGGAAATCAATTATTATTCATATGGATGCGTTAAGTAGCTCTTCTGTGTGGAAACGTTTGACTCGAAATGTGACTGAGAATTTTAAAGCGAATATTATTGTGCGCCTTTTTGATCTGCCTCTTTCAAAAACCAATAGGAGATTGTAGTGGGAGAGTTGTTACTATGGCCCCTTTTTGATTTTCTAATTATTCATTAGTACATATTTTGTGTCTTCTTTCTGTTAGCGAATTTCATTTAATGATTTCTTCACTTTGTTATTAATTTTTCTCGTTTTTGTTTTTCGCATCTAGTTTCTCGAACTATTGTCCATATAATTCTTTTAAATATACAGTCGTTTTATCTTTTGCTTTTCAATATTCGCCTTAGTCTTATTTTTAACATTTGTGCTGCTTAATATTTCCATAGATTTTTCCATTCATTTCATTCTCCTTATATTGTATTCAATGTTTTCCATGAAATGCAATTTTGAAAGATGACAATATTTCATACGGATACGTGCCGAAATTTACATCGACTAATGTTATCCTCCATGAATACAAGGCTATCTGTGTTTACACATGGCGACGTATTACCTGTAAACATTGTATAACATTTGTACGAGTCTATTTTCATGGTTTCTACAAATACTGTGTGAAGCTGTAATCAAAAAATAAAAAAATAAAAAATATAATGTAGTTAGTTTTGACTGATGTAAACGTGATGTAATGAAGGAACTACAAATCCACTCTATTTGACTACTGAAGATAACCTCGTAACCTTTGTTCAACTCAGTAGTAATAGGTATTTCGCTCGTCTCATTATAATCAATCAAGGACAAACGTGAATTTTCATGATCACTGTCACAAATATGCACTTTACCGCCGTTTTCATGAACGAATTCATCATTTTCAACCGATATAACGAAAGTGTAATCCGTTTTCAAAGACAATCATTTTATATGGAGTTTTGAGTGTGCTAGTAGATTTGTTTCAAAAGTCTTCAGCTTTTTCCACATCAAGTATACTTTTAACTAGATTCAAAATCTCTCATTATAATCATCTTAAATCTGTTTTATCCAAGTTGATCTCTTCCAGGCAAGCATTGGTGCCATCTAGTTTAATCCACTTTATCGTTTGCTACCTACATTTTCATTGGTTTTTGTTGTAAGCGTACAGTAGAACTGTTGCGTGGCATGTGAAATTTGACAATATAGAATTAAACGTTGGCAAAAGTATTGATTTTAGCTGGCAAGTGGAAATAGTCAAACCATACTGGGGTCAATTCAGAGTGAGAATAGCTATAGAAACCATTAATGTAATATATAAGGAGTATACAAATGAAATAAACAGAATGAGAAATAAGTAATGCTAAAAGTGTTTAGGGATTATGATACTTTAGCATTGAGGAATTAGGACCATGGAAGTTGGAGTGGCTGAATGAACTTTTACTGTATACATATATTGAACGACCGATACACCTAGCTCCACACAGGCATTTGAATTGATAAACACATATACATTCGGTCAACTGCGGGACCTATTCCTATAGGTTACCAAACAGAAATGGTTAACTAGAAAACGCTATTTTCAACGATGAGGCAGGTAATATCCTTATCAGGGACTATGAGATCCTTCTTTTAATGATATTTAAAGCTAAGTTGCCTTTGACTTTCAAGCTCATGTGCAGTATTTTCTCGGTCACGGATGATAAATCACATTACATCGGTTTTGACTGTACAAAACGTGGCAGAAATCTATTTTCAATTAGGATTTTTCTGAAAAGACTTAAATATCCCTACACAGTATCAGGAATACATATGCGATGAATGCCAGTAGCAAGCGACCGGATCACGTTTCATTTCTGATCCATGGGTGTCCAGCTGTGGACATTTCTGAGCTGACCATTCCATGACAGCTTTCTATATATTTATCTCCTCAGATTTCCATCAGTCCTCCTGGAAAGAAACAAATACATGACTGGTTCTCCATTTCCAGTGTGAATTTCATCACTGGATTGCACCCATTAAATGCATTTAGTATATTACTCACATTATGATTATGTATCATCTCCACACCTTTTGTGCGTTTGAAAACTTTGCATGGCTGACTACTAAATCTTTACATCTCCTTCCAATATCTATAAATTCTATGCATAATTCAATATATGATAAGAATTGTTTTGCCACTACACACCTGACTATGTTTATAATCACAAAACTTTCAATTGCACTTCATACTATTGTTATAATTCAATGTATACACACCTTAGATTCAATACTCTCACACGATAAAATTTCTTTAAATATATATATATATATATATATATATAAACGATTGTACAGCTTGATGACAAATTCGTCGAAAAGATTCTCTTCACTAAATCACTTGTTTTGAATATGAAACTGATAAGATACTGCCAAGATAGACCAGTTTCTTGATGATGATAATGTTGGAAACGGAGGTAATAAGTTCGTAAGCGTTCAACAGTCACCATCAATCGGTTCGACATAGAATGCATTCTCGATCGAAATTCCTCCTCTTCAATTTCAAAGTTATTAAAAATCCGTTAGAGCCTTTGCACATATTAACACTACCTATATTAAAGTAAGTGAAAAGCCGAAAGCGATGAAAGATCATACGGAGAAAATAGAGAAAGAAATAACAAACTTATTAAAAGATTTGAAGGGTAAAGGCTATTTATCACCAAAAACTTTCGAAAACATAAAACCTACAGGGAGTACCATCTCACGTATGTATGGTTTACCGAAAGTGCATAAATCAGGAGTGCCCCTACGCCCCATACTAGACATGTCCCATTCACCCTATCACGAGACGGCAAAGTGGCTGGTACAGCTGCTTCAACCCTTGCATGACGAGTTAGTAAAGCACAGCGTCAAGGATACCTTTCAATTTGTTGATAAGATAAAAAACCTGAACGCGACTGGCAAATATATGGCATCACTTGATGTTTCATCTCTATTTACGAATGTGCCTCTAGTGGAAACAATCGATTATATCTGTGAACAGATTATAGAAAAGAAATTGTGCACTGATATTCCTATCAGTAATCTGAAACAACTACTTGTTAAATGCACAACGAATGTTCAGTTCCTATTTAATAATGAAATATACAGACAGGTTGATGGAGTAGCCATGGGATCCCCACTGGGACCTATTTTCGCGAATATATTTCTAGCAAAACTAGAAAATAGTCCGTTGAAAGAGGAAATAGCGAAAATGGAAATGTATTGTCGTTACATGGATGACACTTTTGTAGTGTACGATGAAGGGTTAAATAGTGATTTGATTTTGAACAACTTCAATAGTGCTCACCCAGCGGTCCATTTCACCTACGAAGGAGAATACAACGAATCCTTACACTTCCTCGACGTCCTACTAACAAGAAGAGAGGATGGTTCCATCAAAAGAACCATATTTAGAAAGCTAGAGACCAAAGCCCAGTATACACATTTCCTTAGCTTCGTACCGATGAAATACAAACGTAATCTAATCAGGTGCTTAGCATTTAGAGCGAGGTCGATTTGTTCTGAAGAATGCGTAGAGAATGAACTCCAGATCATCCGAGACATTCTAAGCGAGAACGGATATCCAGAGAAGTTCATTAAAGCCAACATAGGTTATAATAGCCGTAAACATGAACTGACAACTGTGGAGAAAAAGCCTCTGTTTTTACGTCTCCAATTCAAGGGAGATACTCCTGCGGAGATTCTATCCCAACGTTTAACCAGGGCGATCAAGAAAACTTTCTATTCTGCACGTCTGTGTCTATCCTTCACTAGCCGTCCAATGTTCACCCAGCAACTCAAAGATGCCTTACCTAACCTTAGCTCTTCTTCATGCATATACCATTTCAACTGTTCCTGTGGTTCAAGTTATATAGGGCGCACGATTAGGCAGGTTCGTCTACGGGTTCGAGAACACTTACCAGCTTGGTTCAGCAGGGGGGAAATTAAGTGCATAAAAAGCTCGATCCTGTCACACCTGGTCGATACTGGACATCGCATCGATGTCAACACAGCTTTCAGAGTTATATACCGAATTCCGAAGTCGTTATCACGTACAGTTCGCTTACGTCTCCTACACATAGCTGAAGCTGTTGCAATAAGATCGACTAAACCGGAACTGTGTATCCAAAAGGAACACGTCCAGACGCTGTTCCTACCGTGGCCAACCTTGGATTGAAGATTTTTCTTCTCACCAAGAGTGCTCTTTCCCCTTAAACCTCTTGGTTTTTTTTTTGTTTTTTTTTCTTTTTAATTTGCTTATTATTATAAATATTATTATTACAGTTATTATTATTCGTCATAATTTATGCCCTTTATGCAAACATTCCCTCAATACTATCGAATTTTCATTTGTACGGACTTATTATTAGTGATATTATCTGTTTTCTCAATATATGCCTCCACCTGTTTCATTTAATATATTCGTTATCTCACTATGAACCTCTCATTCCAGTCTTACTATATCCTGCTTAACTCAGACCACTTTGTACTAGCCACTCACCTGACACCTTTTATAACCTTGAACTGATTTGTCAATTTTCCTACCCCACACTCTACAATTCCATTATGATTAACCACCACTATTGTCTCCCGTTTTACAATATTTCTAATCGATTTCAGCCTAGCACGTTTGTCACACAAATATGACTATTTATTTTGACACCCCATAACTAATCTGTTATTCTACGTTAAAAAATGTATCCGCCGCATACCTGGCTATCTTTATTGTAACGACCACAAATATTATATTTTATAATTGTAAGAACCTGATGAGAAATTATTGAAAAGAATATTCTTCGTTCAGATTGACTTTTAAGTGAAAAGCGTTTATTTTTACCTTGTTTAGTGGATATGACTGAGTGAAATGTTTAA